AAAAAAAAAAAAATAATAATAATAATAATAATAACAGAGAGAAAGAAAAGAGAAAGGAAAACTCTATGGAACAGTAGTTCTTTCCAAAGACTAACTAAGCATAGTCGGTTAAAAAAGTCCATTTTCGTGAATGCGATCGTACCTTTGAGATTCCTCGGCGAATCAAAATTTAGACGCGAGATTTAGCTACGCGAGAGCTTAAACGGTAGTGTCTGCTAGAGTTTTGAAACGCTATGTTCGAAATCGAGGCAGAGAACCTTCTTCTACGATAAGAACTTTAAAAACAAAAAGCTTCAAAAAAAAGAAAAAAAAATGGTACACTAGAGTACAACGGTAGAGATATTTTGTTCAACACCATCACCGCCATCACCAGATTGTTCTTTTACTTTCGCACGAATTCTTTGCATACGCAGTGAGACACGAATTTTCGAACGGCTGGCGTTCGATCGGCTAATTATTTAGCATCGTTAGACACGCAAAGACTAAAAGGAAATATTTATTTGACTGATCGATGTAAATATGTTTATAATAATAATAGATGTAAGTAACATTTTGTACAATGTACCTTCGTGCTCGCTAAGTTATAATTCGCGAACTACCTTTAAACGCATACATGCGACTTCAGCATTTAGCTTCTTCACGGTGTCTCGTTCAGTATGTTGTAAAGCGCAAAAAAAAAAACAAAAAGAAAAAAAAATGGTTCTTCTACGTTAAAAGGAACAAAAAAAAAAAAAAAAGAAAAAAGAAAAAACCGACCGGGGAAAAAAGGTTTTATTGAACGATGCAGTTGTAGCGTACTTGTGCATTTATTTCAGCAGAGCCGTCTTTCGCTGTGTACGTATTTCTCGCGTATAAGATTGCTCGCTTGTACGTCGCTCGCGATGTTTAATTTTCCTACAGTTCCTATGTACAGTCGCCTCGGAGCATTTTAGGGGCCGCAACTTAAGTTCAATAAAGCTTTTCAATACTCATCATCATTTGTTCGAGCATCGAGTTTTATAGTCATTCACCGCTTTTCTTCTTTCCACGCGATGATGTCGTATGTATGGCTCCGTAAAGTGTAAAGACAATCAGACGTTTTGCACGACATACGACCGTGAAGTAGAAAGTGACGCCCTTCGACAGAAACTTGGCCAACAACTGGTTGATAAGATCATCATTTCCAGGAAATACGATTTATTTCATTGTGACATTTAGATTTGTTAAACGTCTAAATCATTTGTTAAATGACTACTCGCAGCTTGAGTTAACATACGTCGTTCAATACCAAAGATTAAAAGTTACGTTCCACGTGTCAAAGGGCCAAGATGTACGTTATCATAATTACTTAAACGTTGTCTCATACTTGTACATTTCCTAATACACAGTAACGTTACAATAAATTCTTTATTCCATGCATACGTTTTATCTGTCATTAACGACGGACCAACGAAGAGGTAGGTATTTTATGTTATAATAATAAATTTCATAACGCCTTGATTCAATTTCCTTTATTCTTGATATTCAAAATTCGATTTTTTTTTTTTAAGAATTTCGAGGGTGCGGAGCAACATACATCTATTACGAATGGCGCGAATAAAATTCAAATCTGAATTTTTAATCAATCGATTAAAAGTAAAAGAAGTTAAACGTCATCGAATGAACTTTCTACTTATACAAAGTATAAAGAAGAAAAAGAAAGCAAAGAAAAAAAAGACGTAAATGTCAAGTTGATCGAAGTATATCAAGTGGGAGGCATGTTCCCCTCGTGTCATTTCCCTCCAATAGGATTCGTTTGACCAGACCGTAGTCTACGAAGAAAAAATTTTACCAATACATTTTCCATTGTAAACATCATTGTCTCGAGGAAATTCAAACATATCATTTTCTTTGCCGCTCGTTCATGCGGAACGTTTATCAAATGAACCAAGATTGACGTCCTATTAAGAGAAATTAGGCTCTCCTATACTCAATGTGACAATGAAGCATTTGATTTTACGTGATCATTTTACAAGTTGTGAGAGTGTTGAATTACCTGTTTATTGATCGCTGTCAGTGACAATAATGTAAGGGACTTGTGAGTATTACGTTGCCAAATGTTGCTGAGCCACTGCAAACATTATGTACCTTTCTACATTAAAGTATGCTATTGTTTGTCAAAGAGCCGATAACCTAACAGCCACATATATCGAATATTAGAAGAAATTTTGCTTGATAATTTGTACATGAAATTATAAGAGCTTTTAATTTTTGGTAGTTCATCTAGAGGGTTTTACATCTAAGTTGCAATATAAAATGCACACTTATGCCGCGTAATGTTGTAATGAAAATTTTATGAAATCGTTACACGACGAAAAAAATTGATTGTGCTTTACTTGAGATTGCAATTTTTATATTTTTATATGGTGAAAATGGACCATGCTTCGTTACCGAAATTTATTTGCAATCCAATAAAAACGTGTTCATCTAATTTCACTACTTTGACTGATGTAAGTTTGATTTGAGCTTACAATATCTATGTATTTTGCATTAAAATTCATTTTGTTATTTTGTCGTAGGTGTTACAATCGGATCCAGTGAAAAGGTTGTTCAATCAACCAAATATTATTATTAAAACGATACCCATAAAAATAAGTCCAACATCTGCCTCTAATAACAAAAGTTTCACAAACAAAGTGCATGATACAGATTTAAGTATAAATAAAGTGAAACAATCAGAGTTATCAGTAATACCTTTACAGAAAAATCAAGAAGAAAATATTGATGATGAAAATTTGTTACCCTCGAAAAAACAAGGTAAATCAGAAATTACATTAGTTCCTGTTAAAAGAGAAAAAAAACCTTGTGGTCATTATGAACCTTGTGAGAATATTATATGTGATGTGATAGTACAACAATATGTAGATCGTGATGGATCATCGCCAATGTTAGCCTTCAATATAGAAGATAGTGAAATAAATGCACCAGTTTCAAAACATTGTAAAAATAAAATGTGCGATGCATTAAGCATTGATCATGATCGTTGTCGCAGAGCTATAATAATATTAAATAAATGTAATCAATCATCAGCTTGCGATATTTGTGGTGTTACATTAAAGACCCAAAGATCTCGTATACATCACAGGAATTGTACAAGGAGGAATGTATATAGGCATAATAAAACAAGCAGTGCTCAAATATTAAAAGAAAGAATGAGAGAACGAGAAATTCAAATAATTGAAGCTTCAAAACTAAAAAAAAATGATTATACAGATCCTATTATGGGCTATAATCTTGCGATGGAAACTCTAAAGAATAATAAAGAATTAATCATTACTCCAAAATCAGTCCCTTTACAACAACAACAACAACAACAACAGCAGCAGCAACAGCGGCGACGGCAACCATTTTCATCAGCATCACTAACAGCAGCAACAACAACAACAATTACAATTACTAAAAATTCTATATCTACAACAGATTCTACTTCGCAAATTAGCAATGTAAATAATGTTTTTGGAGAACTTTTATCTACCAATATACCAATTGTAATACCACAACAAAGTATAGTTATTGGCAAAGCACAGTGTTCTAATGAAAATGGTATATCTACTCCCATTCAGTTAGCTTTGTCAGAAGCTTTAACTAAATCACTTATAACAACAACCACTACAGCTTCTTTACCTCAAAGTCATCTTCTTACATTTACAACACAAACTAACACACATCCAATGCCAATAAATGACTTACTCTTGTCACAATCACAAATTGTGACAACACCCATTCAACCTAAACCATTTTTTACACCTATTCGCGTTGTACCTATAACTAATTTAATAACACAGCCATCCTTATTACACCAAACACAGGGTATACCAAAGTTTTGTATTATGGCAGACAATACAGCACTACCATTATCTGTAACGAATCCACAGTCTGTTCAATATTCAGCACCTGTGCCAAAGGTTGAATCTACAACTGATTCGAAAACAACATCACAAAAAAAGAAAAAGAAATGGAAAATAGTAAAAAAGAAATGGAGACACAAGAATAAAGATTTCAAATGTGACTACTGTCTTAAAAACTTCAGTACAGATTGGTATTTCAAAGTGCACGTTGCTAAGCATACTAATGAAAAACAACTTACGTGCAAGATGTGCAAACAGTCATTCAGTAATAGAAGTGATATGAAAAAACATATGTCAAATCATCATAAAAGTGAAGATAGTGTTCCTAGTACATGTAATCGACAAACTTCTGCATGTCCACGTAAGTGTTTAAATTGTAATGTTATATGTGCATCCATTGACCATTTAAAATATTACAGACAAAAGTATTATAAAAATACAGAAACAGGTATTGTAAAAGTTCTTTTTAATGTTATAGAAACAAAGGTTATCAACCTTGACTTACAACAAGAAGTAAGAAAAGAAGATAAAACAAATGGATACGTTAATATGCCCACTCAAGATATTGTCAAAAATATCAAAGCAGAACTGTGTCACGAAGTATAAATTATTTCAGATTAGTAATTGTTATTGGAATTGAAAGAAAGAAAAAGTTATCTAAATTGAAAATACATTTTTTATAAATCTTGACTAAATTAATTTATGTAAATATGTGTAAATTATGCTTAAATACTATAGCTAATCAAATGTTAAGTTTTTAGTAGCAAATTTTATGTTAAATTATACAAACACATGTATTACTTTTTTAATATTGCATTATGTGTTTGTTTATTTTAATTTTAAAACAATCATTCAATATATCTCAAATCGTGCAGCAAAAGACGAAAATACTTCTTGATATATATTTGCTTTAGTTATGAAATATATAAAACAAATATTTTTAATACTTTCATCAATGTTATAAAAAGGCGTATTATAAAACTTTAAAAAATTGTATTTTTTAAATGAAAACGATTGCAAAAGTTGATGAATGTATAGAAAATTAAATTTAGATGTTATTATATATTATTGAAATATCTTTCAAACTGTGATATGTGATTATCTTTCCACTATAATTTTGTTCACGTTATCTAAAAATTTATCGTCTTTAATTGCATATTTAATATAGCTTTGAGCACATTAATAAGTTTTTGTACACTGAAACAAAAGCATGATAATGCACGTTGACAAAGATATGATACACATATCGTAAAACGCACAAAAGAAAAATTATGTGTATATTTTAGAACTAGAAAATTTGTTAAAAAAAGAATATTTTATATGGAAAGAGAGATAAATTTCTGTAAATACATATAAGTTATATCGTGTAGCTTTTATTTACACAAAAAGTTATTCACTTGAAAGTATTCATTCACGTAAGTTGAAGTTAATATATATTCTTATTTATATATTCTTTCTTTTATTGAACTGTTTTAGTATGATATTTTTTTCAAATTAAACACTAAATGTTAATGAAGTTATAGACTAAAATATTTTACAGAAATATAGTTCCTTGTTAAGGAAAATGAGTATCATGTGCCTTCAAAATTTTAATGTTCCTTATATTAATAAGTACACTTAATTCAGAGAAATAAATGTTGATTATAAACAATATTGGTTTCATTAATTCGTCTTACCATAATTAACTGACAATAAAGAATACAATTTTGATGCAATTGTATAGTTAAATAAAATACTTTTACATGAAAGTAAAATATTTTCGTTACATTTGATATTCATGATACTCTGTGTACGAAATAGTAAAAATAGAATTTGAATATTTAAAAAATTATTTTTAAAATTACAAAAACCACTAAAGTGCTATGTCAAATATGATATGTTCTGAGCAAAATGTATCATAAAATTGTCTATTATATTGTATTTATATAAAAGGATTAAAGAATAAATCATTATTTTATATCAAAACCATTTATTCAAATAGTTCTTTTTAAACTGAAAAATAATGATCATGAATTATATTTTGAAGATTGAATAAATATGATATTAATATTGTATGTGATTAAAAAAGTTAATTATTTCCTTAAGAATGCACATTATATTTTTGTACTTTTTATATTTCAATTCATATCCTGTCCAAAGCTTCTAACATTATTACACTATTTCCACGTATTACCTAAAATAATGAAATGCTTCCATTAAATCAACAGAAATGTAATTGTAACTACAAAGCAAGTTTGTTAACTTACCACCATCCCAATGTTGTTTTTTGTACCATCTTTGCATTCTTCAATACTTTCATCTATAACCATGTTCATAAATGGATCAAAACCTCGTAAAATCCCAATGACATGTCTTCCTCCATTGAGTTTTACTAAACAAAAACATGTGATTTTAACAAAGTATTGCATATAAACATAATCCTATAACCTATATTTTTGTACTTACGTGATAATCTCTTGTCCATATACCTGAAATGGAAAAACAATTAAAATTTTTATTTATTTGCAGTATGTAAAAATTAAGATTCATATAATTTCATTGAAAACCTCCCAAAAAATTAATTTCTTATAACCTTTATCTAGATTGTTCAGAAATTAATCCATTACACTTACTTTTTAAGTTCTGGTGGATGTGCCTTACTCATTTTTCAATTCTTCTTTCTTTTTTTTTTTAAAGAATATTAACAATCACACAATTATGAATATTTGCTTTTTACTGGCCTTGTCTTTTCCTCTGCTATGATATTACAAGCAACAGCATGCCAACCATAGTCAATGTACATTATAGAGTTAAGAACTCCATTGGGTTTGATATCACACAAAATAAGATACCAACTTAAAATAATCAATTACTTTTTACACTCTTCGTAACTTAGTAAATATATGTATGAATAAATTCATATATACATTTTAAATTAATTAGCTAAATTTACATTACCTTTCTTTTTTTTTTTAAATAAAAAATACATACATGTTGTAGAACGATAATTTTATTTTTCCTTTTCTATACTAATACACGAAGTAAATGTCACAATATACATTTGACTTAACAAAACAACATAACCACCATTTAATTTCAATAGATTTTAGTCGCTTCTCAAAGTTAAAAGTATTCCTATCGTATAACGTTTATTCGAAACGCACATCGTACATGTACATATAATCTCATTGTTCAACGTATTATATTTTTGCAAGGTACTGCCAGTACAAAATATAAGTACATTCATATTTATAAAAGTACAACGTTTACTTGCCGCCGAAGACGGAAGAAATAATGTTCTTCTTAAAACAGCTCATAAAACATCGGAGCAAGCAAGAATTTCGATAGCGTATTTTGCATTTGAATTTGACCTTGATTAATTATCATTTATCGACTAATTATCATTTCAAAGACTAATTTTTCACTTATTTATCAATTTTACCATTCTCATTGCTAAAATTCTTTTCTTTTTTTTCTTTTCTTTTAACTAGCTCGTAAACTATGAAAATATAGAAAAGCACATAAATCATCGGCTCTTTTCGATGATATGGTAATTAAATGTATCTGATATCTAATCGTTTTAAAAATCTCGAAAAACTTGCCCGCGCGGAAGGTCTTAAAACCAGTCTGGTAAAAGCGTCAAATCCTTAATTTTACATACATGTTAATACGTACATCAAGTTAAATTATTGCATTACAAATAAAGCGTACAATTCGACATTTTATGTATTTTTAGGTATTGCACAAAACAGAGTACAATATTGTTTGTCAGATGGTATCGAGCGCTTCATTAACTTACGAAATATCCAGAAATTCTCCGTAATAAACACGTACAAGAAACAATTGCAGTGTATTTTATATACGTTGGTCAAATCAGGTACCTCATCGTCAAATTCTCAATCATCGAATTGCACGTTTTATCGTCAACTAACTTACATCTAGTTCTCAAGGAATGGCTTACGATTATCATTGACATACACTTCGAAAACATACATTTCAAATGCGAATCGCAATTCGAGAAAATGCTATTTAAACCTCCAATACCCATAATTATCAATAGGTATCGTTTTCTATATTCTATTTGTATTCCAACATAAGCGAATTAGTACTTTACACGATCGGATAGGAAAGCACATGTTCAGTTTAAGAATCAGATGATCCACATTCTTGATTGAACTTCATAAAGATCATAAATCTACAATATATACAATAAAATAATAAATTTTTAACAAAGATAAACTTAATATAACTTCGTATTGTAATTTATAGGGATTGGAGAGTTAAATTAGTAGCTGAGTGTATATCACCAAACGAGCAGTACAACTTTTCGTTAAGTAAGCGCGAGGACTTATTCAAACTACGATTAGCCTCACCGAAACACGATTCTTGCGATGGTTTTATTCGTGCTTACTTTTACCACTATCGTTATATTATTACTTGCGAAACTGTATGTAAGATGGAACGGATTTAAAAGCAGTCGTAGGTAAACATCTCGGCTCCTCTTCGAGATATAGTAAACCTTCGTATAAAATAACTAATTCTTGTACCAAAGGTGAAGGGGATAAGAAAACTTGTAACAAAAACAATTCTTGCCTAATGTCATAAAAAAGTAATCTCTGTCTCGGTTTCGATTAAAAATCGATTCTACAGAAAGTTTTCACTCAAGATCTATAACTTTATCATTTAATTAGAGATATAACACTTCGATGATATAATTTTATATGAATCGTATTGTACGATGAATATTTCGTTCAAAGAAGATTGCTATTATGTTAAATTAAAAATATCAAAGTATTCTTTCCTGGAGGCTAATGAGCATAAAACGAGGCGTAGTGATGTGCTGCCGAATCTCAATCGCGAGGAAGTATGTTATAACAATATAGCGTCACGTTTAAATCATTTGCTTTTGCATTAATGCATTTAAAGCATAATGGAAACGAAACGGACAAACGTAATCCATTATACTTTAT